CTTTCTTCTGCCTAGGCTTTAACATTAAACATTTTAAACTATTGAATTGAACACAGAGACTAAGTTTGCTCTTGGTATAATATTAGGTCAGCCACAGGAAGCCTCAGGGCTTCCTGTGGACCCTGACTTGCCCTTTTGCACCTTGGAGCACTTTGGACTGCAGCTGTTGAAAATCAGTTTCAGGGCACCGTTTCTACCGTTTCTGGCTGAGGAATTCTGAGAGTTGAAGTTCACACATTTTAAAGTTCCCAAGGTTGAGAAACACTGATCTACACAGATGTCTAGCATCAAGCTGACCATGGCTGATTACCAGAAAGGTCACATTTGGTAGTACTTGGGTGGAAGAGCACCAGAAACCCAGGGCTATACACTAGACTAGGAGGCCAAGAACCCCTGAAACCTTCCCAAAACAAAGGAAGAGGAAACCACTTTCCTATTATTGCAGAGGAAACGACATGATGTGTTCCTATAGTTCCCAAGAACTGAGCTCAACTCCGTTGTTTTAAAAGCCTTTAAGTAATATGTTCAGAACTGTCTAGTTCTTTTGTTATAGAAAAAAGGGGTACCTGGTATGCATCAAGAACACAAAATGGGAAATTGACTCCCCCATATGATTTTCCTGATTAATGTTTCTTCTCAGTCAGTCAGCAAGTCTGTGGGGGATGAGGGTCAAAAAATTCAAAATGGCAGTCTTGACTGCATGACAGGACTCCCACTTCTTTTTCACAGGAGTTGGACATATGACACAGGGGTGGGTTTTAAATCTCATGGTTGCAGCTGCTATTTTGATGCCCTCCCCATCCTGGACACCTTTGCTCTCAAACCTGTTCATAGGCTCTGACAATTTTATTGTTGCAAAGCCCTTTTCATCATGCATTATGACTCCTGTAGAAAGCTTGCCCAGGGATAGATAACATTAAAAAGATTGCAGTGGTACAAGCAAATGAAAAGCCAGCTTCAGATTCAGTCATCAAATACTGTATATTTTAAAAATCAGGCAGAGCAAGAGAACATGCAAACACCGTGAGAATAATATTTCCATTTTGTTTTCAAAGAATCAAATCATGTTCTTTATGAATGGCACAGACTATGTCCACTTTATAATATATGCAAATGGAAAGTCAAGGATGCTTAAAAAATATATACAAACACTAGACAGTGAAAAATAAAAAGTACAAGCAGCTGCTTATACCACCCTATTTCACCTAATTGATGCCATTTGAGTTTCTTTGCTATTGGAAGTTGTTGTGGCCAACTTTTAGTAAATACCACAAAAAGGAATCACTGAATAAACCATTCAAAAAGTTTTTTTAAAAAGTCAGTTCTTTTGATATGTGGTAAGTAATCTTTTCTCAGAGTACTAATGTGTTTTTGCATTTGCATTAAGTTGTATATTTTCTGTAAGCAACAATGCAAATTTCCAGTGTAAAATGTGGGAGAGGTGCATTCAAACAGAGTTTAATGCTTCTATGGAAAAAAAAGCTACGTTCTTTTGTTTTTCAGTACTTATAAATGAAATTTATAGTTGAGTAAGCACAAAATAGTTTAGTCAAATCAGATTCCTCTTAGCTCAGAATATAGCACTTCTTCATGAGTAATCATTCCATAGAAAGAAAATTATACAATTATTTAAAATATTTAAACAAATATCAGCTTTCTGTTTCTGTGTAAATGGAGCTTATTTTTGTACTGAGACTCAAAATGAAACCTTCGTTACGGCCTTTAGGGTAGATAACACTACAATAAAAATATATTAAAAGTAGACATAAAATACAATAAAATTACATAAAAATAAATTAATATAGATTTAGTATATAGTATGGTATATAATTTATAGCAGTAATAAGTTGGAGTAAGAGTCGAGATGGCAACCTTTTAACACAATTCTCCATTAGCTCCTGTTCCAAGTTGCTGCCTCCCTGTTTTAGTACTGTTTAAGACTTATTATAGTAAGCTAATGGCATCACTTATGCATCTGTAACTTCCTGGGAGAGAAAAAAAAGGAAGGAGTCAGACATTGTCAGTCCTCCCAGGTAAACCAGACAAGAAACACCCCCAGGTGAATTACTTCTGCTTTATTGATAGGCTACATTAACAGAATCTTGTAAGTCTGAAAGTAGAAATCTTCCACTGTCCCTATTCACCACCTGATCAGTTAGGGCAGGTCCTTTCTAAGTTTCTTTCTCTGTCTATTACTGAGTTAGGGGCTCCTCCCCTTTTTATCAGATCATTCCCTAGGTAGCATCTCTCCCCACCACCCCTGCCTTCCAAGATCAGTCTCACATTCCATTACAGGCAAAGAAGGGAAGGGAAGGGAAGGGAAGGGAAGGGAAGAGAAGAGAAGAGAAGAGAAGAGAAGAGAAGAGAAGAGAAGAGAAGAGAAGAGATTTCTGACTCAGGAGAATGGGGAAAAGGAAGCAGCATCACAGAACCACCCCAGTTCACAGCACTCTTCCAAGATAGCCAAATAATCAAAAATTGATGAGCTTTTTCTATTTCTGTATTGGAAAATTCATCAGCAATACAAGTGGCATCAGAACATGACCAGTGCTTTGAAGCCTGATGAATGCTTGTTATCGTGGCTCAGTTTTTAAAAATATTAACATTGAAAGATTGTTTTCTATTTTTTTTTCCAAAAAGCCTCGAGGAGGATGAACAGATTCTTGGTGTGTGAATTAGTGGTGGAAGGAACAGTGGAGTGAAGACAAATGTCAAGCTTGAATGTTCAGGATTAGTGGTAGCAAACATGATGGCAGAAGAATATGCTGGCAGAAAAAGAATATGCTGGCAGAAAATGAAATATGTTCTTGTGTGTATTACAGATTGCAGAGGAAGGTGTGGGGGGATGTGTTTAGAATGTGGTGGATGGAAAGATGTGAGTCTAAAGGTAAGATGAAGAAGAAAGGATGGCCCAGGAGGTCACAAGGTTATAATCAGGGATTGTGATTGTGGTGTGGGAAAAAATAAGTGTATATTGGAAGGAAGGACAGAAGAAGATGGAGTGATGAAGATTTTTGATTGTGAACAAGACTTTGGGCTGTCCTTGTTGAATCTGTACTGATTTGCTGAATTGACAGGAATGTAGGCTGGATTGATTTGTGGGTTTGTGAGTGGAAAGTTGCGGTGGGAGGTAATTTCTTTGAAAGTATCAAATCTGGGAGGTACTAATGTGAATTGGTATTTTATGGAAGTAGTTGGAAAATTTGTTTGGGAAAATAAATTCCCTTAAAATTTGTTTAAGGGAATCTGTTCCTTGCTTGTGTTTACTTAACATACTTTAGAATCTATAATTTGTGAGAGCTGGGCCCTGTACTCTTACTATGTGTTAATGAAGAGAGGACCTTGTCTTTTCTTTGCTTCCATCACTGCTGGAGGATATAATTTGTATCTGGATTTTGTATTGATTTTCACTAAGGTGGGTTTGGTGGTGATATTTGTGTTTCTTATTTTCATTCTTTAGCTTTCTGTAGTCATGCCTGTTTGCTGCCATTTTTTCTGTTCCAGTTGCTGATGCCATGTCTTTTAATTATTTGTAGATGTATTGTTTTGATGTGGCATTTTGAGATCTTTAAGTTTTTAGATAGTTTTATGATGATGTGTGTATTTTATTCTGTGTTGGGAAAGCTGGACAGAGCACAGGTTGCCCCCTCCAGCATCCTTTGCATTTCTCAGAGGGCCTCAAGGCAGACCACTGCAAGTGGTTTGGAAAATGATTCTGAAAGCTGAGAAGGTCTGAAAGCAGTGACTGTGTGGAAGTGGCTTAGTCTATGCTATATGAGTCCCAGAAACATTCAGAGGAAAAGCATGTGGGATATTTCTAAAACCTCAGCACTTCATAGCCCACTCACCATTCTATTAAAAATATTTTGAAAAGAAAAAACTGTTGAATAAGCTGAGTGGGGAGGTGGGAAGGGATCCTGTAGATATTGTGATCAGCTTGGAAACCCACCAGGATGATATTGTTCAGCAAAGCTTACTCTGGACGTAAACCGACAGTCCAGTATTCCATCTTCAAAAGTTATTAGCTGACCTCTAGCTGCCAGTCAGCTTCTCCATTACTCATCTTCTGATGAGTAGCTTCAGGATTTGATGGGGACAAGTATGAATACACTGTTTCCAGATTTTGCTCTTTATTTATTCAGACAGAAAAAGGTTTGAGATCAGAGCTATGTTCATCTCCAAGAATATATGCAGATCTCCAATCGTATGTGCTAGGAGTAGCAAAAACTATACATTTTTGCTTGTCCTTGTTCCTCCTTTACATTTATTTTGTTTTATTTCCTCAGAAATGTGCAACTCTGTAAATAATCTGCAAAAAAATGTTTTCATGTTTTCTGGATATTTTCTAATATGTTCATTTCTGTAAACATTTTGCTTCATGTGGTATTGTTTTGTCTGGGCCTTTTTTTCACAAATACAATAATTTTTTTACAGCACTATTCTCATATGCATTTTGTGCTTTGAAAATTGTCTTACATAATTCTCTACATATCAAAAGATAACACATTTCAAGTCACATATTGATTTGAGAAATGTAATTTTGAATATTTTTGGGGAAGAGAACCAAAAGATCATTTCCTGATTTCAATATATAAATAATGTAACAGAATATATAATAATAAAATTATTAGAAAAATCTGGTGAAATTTCAAAACTCATGTTACCCAATAAAGTTGGGTTTTTATACCCATAAAACTTATTGTAATACCATAATGATGAAATATGTGATAATATCAGTGTACAGACCTTGCACAATTGTGAGAAATATAACATGCACTATTATTACTGTAAATCACTAAAATGGTGTGGGACGAAGAGTATTCATGCCTCTTAGAAGCCGTAAGAAGGCTGGAATAACAACTCCAACTCCTTTTGGGTATCTAGACCAAATGTGGTTAAGTGACAATAAATAGATGTCCAAAAAAATAACCCACAGACTAGATAAGTTCTGTGATGGAATTGAATTCACCCCTAAAGATATTGTGATGTTTCTTTCTCAGACCCCAGAAGAGTTAGAAGATGTATCTGACCTTGAAGAAGAACATGATGCCCACAGCCGTACCAGTATTCAGACAGAAGGAAAAACTGATAGGGTAGGTATGGAAAAATGCTGAATGGAATGCCTGCACTCTGTTTCTTTAAAGGCTTTGAGTTAAATTGGGAATTGTGCCAAAGTATTACTATCTTCTTCAACCAGTTTCAGAATAATATATTGTTACAGCAAAATAGATGCATAATGAACAGGAAAAGATTGAAGGTCTAAATACTAAATGGTTAATTAAATTTGCCTATTCAAAATACAGAACTGCTTATATTCCATGAGTTTTAGTTTGACCAGCCAGCCTAAAAAATGGATATTATTACTATTAAGAAGCTTGATATCCTACTACAAATTTAAATGAGTTTCAAATGATTTCAGTATTAGAAGTGCATATCGGTGGGAAGGAAGAAGAAGTTCATTTGGTGTGGATTTTTTAAGGAGACTGATAAACTTGCACCCTCTGAATTAACTCTTCTGCAATGCAGTTTCAGTTTCAAGGCCATAGGTTGCATAGAAAATATGTACATTAGGAAAAGTTGCATTCCAAAATTAATATATTAAATAAAGTTGCTATATACACACACACACACTTACATATACATACACATACAGTGTGTGTGTGTATGTATATGTACACACACACACACACACACACACACATGTGATTACTGAGAACAGGAAGAGTATCTTGTAGATAGCCCAAATAAACTAAGTTTTCCATTTTTAAAGGGCCTGGTATATACAGCACACAGGCTCACTAAATAATATTTAAACACTCATGTTTCTAAATGCATTATTTTATTTATTAACTGAACAATCATATACTAAAAATATTCTTAAAGTGTACTTTTTGTTAGGCCTCACCAAAAGTAATCTTAAAATATACCAACAAAATTGTCATTGCAGTTTATTTGAATTAATGTACAGCCCTATTTCTTTAGAAATTCCCAAAGGAAGTAAAAACATTATAAATCCATATTATGTTTTACATGACTGTGACTTGACTACTGGGGATAATTTTTTGGTAACAAATACAACTAACCCATGCTTCAAATATTATATCTAAAGTTAAGACACAGTTCTGTTTGCAAGCCTACCTTGCAGGGTTATTTGAGAGGGATATTGAAAAACCAAATTATGACATTAAAGGAAATAGTAAATTTTCCTAGTGATATGCATGATTATTCAAACAGCAGAGGAGCCCTTCCTTTAGAATATGGTTGATTTCTCCTCAAGATCAGAGCTTTGGGGAGCTCCAGCAGCCTGGTGTGGGTCAGTTGAGCTCTTTCACATCATAAGTCTTTTCAACCTTCAGCAAATTCTTTAGCTTATAGACAACAAGTCATTATTTTAGAGATGTCAGTGTTGCTGTTATTTCTATTTTGGCAACCCAGAGCCTATGCTTTGGTTCTGCTCTTCAGCTTTCCAACCGACTCATTTCTGTACACAGTGTTTTATGCCTCCTGTAAATTTTCTCCCACATCCTCCATTCATACTCCACAATGCTTAGACGGCATTTATTTATATGTATTTATGTATATTCAAGTCATATAGATTATATAGTAATAATTATCAATGAATACTTGTGATTATAGAAATGAGAATCAACCAAATGGTTGAGTTGCTAAGTTTCTGTCTGCAGCAATGTCCTTAAAAAGATGTCTTAATCTTGGAGTGATGACAGACTTCACACTTTATTTTCCATTTTATTTTATTTTATTTTATTTTATTTTATTATTTCTATTTTATCTTGTGATTTATACTGTTTTATTGTATCCTACTCAATTTCTCCCTTTTTTTAAGATTTGATTTTTTTAGGTTTTATATGACCGTTACACTATCTTGTTTATATTTGATCATTGCTTCTGAGATTTTCACCTTGTTGGTCATTGGCCATGATTATAACAATTTGATTTGGTATGAGGAATTCACCACAGTGCTTGGGGCTGGCAATTTCAGGAGAATGAATCTGAAAGTTTCGTTATTCATATGATTTTAAAATCTAGTTGTAAGAGATGCATAGAATTGATACTGGAGAGAACAGAAAAACGCTGTTTCACTAAAAATTCTGCAAAACTGCATCCTGCAGTGTTACAATAAAACACAATGTACATTGGAAGGAAGGAAATGGGCAAAATAAGACTGCAGAATTTCCCTGAAGGTGGATCTCCTCTCTGATGTCTTGGTGCTACAGGATAGCTGAAAACTTCCCTGTGAAATGAAGATCCATCTTCAGGAAAACAACACAGTTCTTGGGCATTTGATCTTGGAGCTCTGATTTCAAAATGGGCAAAAAGTGGGGTGATTCTAAGGTCTAAAGTCTTCCTAAAGCCCTTTAATGTTTTAAAGCTTCCTATCTTTGCCCATGAAATATTCATGGGCAAAACTAGGAACACTTAGTTCCTTTCTCCAGATGCAAGGCTGAAAAGGGGAAACTGAATTCCAACCCTTGTTTTTGAGGGAGGGAGCACGTTCAAATAAAGAAAAAAAAATACAAAGGGGGAGAAGTAAAAACTGTTCTTCGTTTTTGTTCTGCAAACATGAGTCTTTGTAAAAGGTGAATCATTTCACTTCAAACTTCCCTAACTTGGCAGGTAGGATTCCGCTGTTTGTCATAGATAAACAGGAATCTTTTAAATGGTTTCTAAAGAAAATTCTGCATAAATGCTTTGCTAATTGACTTATGACTCAGTTTGGAATTGGGCTTTTGAGGCTGCAGATAGAATGAAATACCAGAACTAAAATAAAAACAAGGTTTTAATCTAACCTTAAATTCCTTGGATAAATAGCATAATTCATCTACATGGATGTATCATTTGAATTAGCTTTATTTAGCTTCTACCCTTCCTCTACATGTCTGACAAGGGATATAAGAAGAGATGCTGATCTAACATAGTATGATGCAGTTCAGATCATCCAGGATTATCCATTCCTTAGTGCAGAAAATTAACCAGAAAACTCAGCATCAAGAAGAATAACCCAATTTTAGCATTCCCTGAACAATTGTCCCTAGTTGATTTGTTAGTTGCATTTGCATTAAGTCATGACAGAGATTTAAAAAAATACTGTATAATAATCTTGTATCCAATATAATGCAACTACCACAACTCTTTAAGAAACCTACTGGGACATCATGTTATTTATATAAACTCCTGTGATCATAGAATGTATCTTAGTTAATATACAAGAGCTAACTGGTTTGCTATCCTCTCAAGTAGTTAATAATATTTTCTAATTTTAACCCCACATGGAATAAAACTGAAGATGGATCATAATTGTTTATGAGAGGTTTCTACTGCTCCAAGTCACATTCACATCTTAATGGGATAGTAAAATGCTTTCAGGCTAAAACTATAGGTATATTTATGGGAGAAAGGCACTTAATTCTGTTTACTTGTATCTTGGGGCATTTTAAATCCAAATCCAACCTTTTATACTTTATTTTTATATATTAGCACTAGTTGAGGCCTTTTGTAAGAAAAATGATAAAACTGCAAAAAATCAAGAGTCTTCTTGTGGTGGATTCTGCTAAGCTCTTTGGCTTTCAAACAGAAACTATACTGGCACTCTCTAGATTAATGTTTATTGTAAAAACATTAAATCTTACACATTATATTGACTAGGCTAAATAAATAAACAACTCTCAAGTCACAAAGATTCAGTTGGGATGCGAATATGAGTTGGAAGACCTTATTCATCTGGAGAACCACCAGTGATATCCAAGGTGGGGGAGGGATGTAAAAAAAATCAAGATGGCAATAATGACTGCGCAAAGTCCTGTCCCTGTTTTACATGTGTCATACACATGATGCACATAAAAAGAGGAGGGTGTTCATCACATAGTGTCAGCCCTTCAAGGTAGTCCAGGTGGAGGTGAAGGGATAGTTTTAGAATACAAGGGGCAGGGAACTCTTCATAAACAAGCAACACTCAGTGGAAGACTGGATGCATCTTTACTGAAGCAGGCAATTGTAAATGAAAGGCCATTGGGATAATTTTCTGGGTAACTGGGAAAGGGCAATAAATTTTGAGTCCAGCTTTTTAGAAAGATGGACAGAAGGTAAAAACTTAGTGGAAGTAAGTTTTTAAGATCCCCCACTGCAATCGTGGCACTCTGCCTGTGTGTGTCTGTGCCCCACTTGTATGGAGCCTTTGTCAAATCTAGCTGTTCCTTTAAGAGGAACTGAGCAGCCTGTCTCTCCTGTAGAAAGTCAGAGGCACAAGGAACAGCAGATGTTAAAGTTCTAGAGAGCCAGAACTACAGTCTGCCAGAAAAGGTGACATGCCTGTGGATGAGTGTTTTGAGTTATTATACACTTTTGCAAGAGGCAACGGTTCATTCCAATTGTCCTACTAATAAGAGACATAACACCTCAGTTACTAATCTAATAATTAGTTCATTCTTTCCATTTGTTCATTAGAGGATGGATGACTCTAATATCTAGAAGAGAGCCTTCTAAAACCTGGATGTAAATTGAGAGTCATAGCCCAAGATCATATGATTGACTAAATTCCTGTACCTATAAACATGGTCTAGAAAACATGCAGTCTCCTAAGTTGATAGAAGGCTCTTGCAAGGAATAAAATGAGCCTTCTTAATAACTAAAACAATTACCCCAAAAATGGCCATGTAACCCTGTACAGGGGGAAGATCAGTAATAAAATCCATTGAAACAGAATCCCAGGATCCCAATGATGATGAGGGAATCTGAAGTAAATTGGGCAGCCTTCCAAAAATACTCTTGGCCCAGTGACAAACACAAGATGAAACATAGTTCTTGACATCTGCTGTCCCTCAGCTCCCAGAATTATCTGAGCATTCTCTCATGTCCAGCAGTTCTACTGTCATGGCAGAGTTGCAGTGCTTCTTCCCTCAAAGGAAGGGAACAGGTAAGTGATCATTGTGAAACAGCTGACCATCATTTGAAGTGAAAGGCAAAAAATCAGTTTGTGGTACTCCTTGGAGGTCATCTATCTGACATATTGTAATGGGATGTAGGAATAACCTTGAGGAGCAGAAGGAAGAGCCACAACCAAGACAACAGTCAGGTA